TCTGAAAGCATTTTTAGGGTGCTGCCTGCTTCTTGGGAGATTTGATGGGGCAGGAAATAGGATTTGTTTGTATGTTGGAGTGCTGTACTGCCTCCTATGCTGAGTTTGTGCATTTGTTCATCAATTGCAGTATTGCAAAACAATGTGAAGCTCCAAGGATGTCTCCTTACAAAGGAAATTACTGTACTCAGGTGAACATTCACTGCTCCGGAAAGAAATCACATAACAGTATGTTTAAACATTTATATTATTTACCTGAGACAAGTATACTACTGAAATATACACTACTAACAGCCTTTGAACTCTGCAGCAGTGCTGTGGGGGAAGGAGTCCTTCAAAACTGTTTTTATTTTTGTGCTGTCTCAGATCAATCCATTACCCAGGATATACCCACGCTTCATTAGTAGAATTTTCTGGTTGAATCCTTGCAGTACCCTTAGCCAAGTCACCTTGACTCCACTCTTCCCTGTCATCTAAAAGTTGTTCATAAATTATTGGCTAGTTGGTTTCCATTTCATAGATTGCACTTGTAGATTCTAAGTGCTCAAGAAAGCAAACACAATATAATTGTGCTCCGGAAGGAGCAAATATATATAAAAATAACATGAAAGCCAGGCAGCCTACTACAGGCTTGCAAAATAAAGATTCGAGAAAGTGACCGGACTTTAGGCTGAAGTTGTGATCCTAGACTCTCTTGAGAGTAAGATGCACTGAACTCAGTTGACCTTCTGTGATAGATCCCTTCTCCAGGCTGGCCCAGCAGTTGCAGACCCTTGGACGACTGTCACTCACCTTGCCTCTCAAGATCCCTCCTTGGATCGGCTACTTGGGCCTCAAGGTGATTCCTCTATGAACCAGTGGGTGTGGATCAGTGGTGTTCAGTAGGTTCACTGTGATAAGCATAACCAGACTGTTAAGCATAACCAGACATATCAAAATTTAACAGGAACAGTCAGACATCATTGTAAAAATAAAATAAAATAAACAAGTAAAAGTTTATTAATACAAAATTAGATCACACATTAACCCCTGAATTATTTAATCATTCACAGCTCCCTAAATTCCTATTCCGTTTTCCCCTGACTGACTCTCCTATCTCTATTACAGTTTTTCCCTACCTCTGTGCCATCTTCTACCTATCTCTCTGCAATATTTTCCCTATACCTGCCTTCTGACAGAGACAGTCCTCAGTTTTTGTATCCTTTCTCCCCATTTGTTGTTTGTTGCTGTATGCCTTCAAGTCATTTCCGACTTATGACAACTCTAAGGTGAACCTATCATGGGGTTTTCTTGGCAAGTTTCTTCAAGGGGTTTTGCCATTGCCATCCTCTGAGGCCAAGAGAATGTGACTTGCCCAAGGTCACCCAGCTGCATTCTCTGAGCTGTTGTTGGCTGGCACCAACCAGGCTTGCCCAGCTCCTCCCTTCATATTTTCTTTCTATCATGGAGCATATCACATTCTTAAATCATGTAAGTATTTTGATTAAATGATAGCACTGAGATTTTGCACACTTATATCTAGTCTGTCTAGATTCTAGTCCTGTAGAACAGAGTTCATCTTTATTTCTGTTAGCCTGAGTAGCAGAAAAAACTGAATCCACAAAACGGAAGCTTAGCAAAGCAAACCTTGATCTAATCTGCACTGTGGAAATAATGCAGTTTTATACTGCTTTAACTGCCATGGCCCCATGCTATGGAATCCTGAAATCTGTTGTTTGTTGTGGCACCAGAGTTCTTGGACAGAGAAGGCTAAATCTCTCAAAAAATTACAAATCCCAGAAATCCGCAGCATTGGGTCATGGCAATTAAAGTGGTGTCAATCTGCATCTTTTTGTTATAAAAAGGAGGGTGGAAATGTTGAACAGAACCAATGTTTTAATAATTTTTTTAAAAAAGGTTGTCACTGCCCACCCAGATGCCAGGAAGTATTCCCCACTCTTGTGACCTCTATTTGTTTTCAAAGCTCCCTGTATGTTTCTGGGAAAGTTAATTAGTTCCACACCCACTTGCAATTGCACCTACAAGCTGCTTAAATAATCCAGGGAGAAGTTAACCCTTAGGTTGATCCTTTTTCTTTAGGTGTGAATTCACGCTATCACCATTCCAAAAGTTTCCACTTGTAGTAATTACAATTAATTCCATATTCATTGCATTTGCCATTTATTAACAATGATCCACTAATTGTGAACTCATAATATATAGGTAAACAGGAAGATGGATCAAGAAATAGATAGATAGATAGATAGATAGATAGATAGATAGATAGATAGATAGATAGATAGATAGATAGATAGATATTGCAACATCTCTTTAATGTGTGAGCCTCTCTCAGAAGGCAGTTTTAGGAAATCATTATCTGACTATTGTATGATGTTGTTTTACATTGCAATATTAACATTCTGCATGCCTCCCCCCAATATTCTTTACATATATTATAACAAAAAATGTTCCTTGATGATGAAGGCAGAACATTCCTGCCCCTAAGGTGGAACTAATCATTGCATAATACGAACATAGCAGGCTAATGAACATAACACCTTGCTCCTTGTTTTCTGGAAAAGGCAGGCCATGTCTTGTGCTTGCACTATACAATATTGCAAAAACTAAACATTCCCCAAAGGGATATGTTTAAAAAAACACCTTTGCAGGAATTACTGTTATAAAACCAAGTGTTACAAAACCATTCAGCGCCTCCATCTCTTATGAAATTGGTCCATATATGAGTTTATATTTCATGGCTGAGATTTTAGTTTTAAAAAAATATTGAGAATTTGTTTTTCAGGTGAAATGTTAAAATGTTACATCATAACATTATTGCCCAGAGACTGGAAAATTACTAGGAAAGGGTTAATGCACGTAGTTAATTTTTATAAACTAAAAAGTCTAATTCAGTTTTTGAAAGGAGAAAATAACTGTTAATATTTATTTCAAAAAATAAAAGCCTATACAAAAACCATCACAGAAAAAAGCTGGAAAATGCCATCCATGATTTTATCCCCCATTCCACCCTTTTGTTGCTCGTCTTTTCTCCATTCTATAGCCTTTTTAAAATGTTGCTGTGTGCCCCCAAGTTATTTTTGACTTAAAGCAACCCTATTGTAGGGTTTTCTTGGCATGTTTCTTTAGAGGGGGGTTGCCATTGCCATCCTCTGAGTCTGAGAAACTGTGACTGTCCTGGGGTCATCCAGTGAGTTTTTATGGTCAAGCAGGGATTTGAACCCTGGTCTCCAGAGTTGTAGTTCAGCACTCGAACTACTACACCACGCTGGCTCATATCCCTGCTTTTTGTTTTTCTTATTGATTCTCACATGCATTGCAGCAAAATTCCCAGGACAGAGAGGTTCGAAATTGAGTTACCTTGGCTAGATGCAGCATCCTCTGTAGAACACGGGAAGATCATGTAGCTGCAACCCTCCTTCTAAGCTGCCCTTATGAACTTGTGGTTTAAAACATTTTAATCTTGAAATTAACTAAATTGATACAGTATAATCATAGATTAGAATAAGTGGGCTAGATCTTGTGACCTAAACATTGTAACTGCCCTGAGAGACTAACCAAAATCAAGTAGTAGTTTGGCAAAAACAAACAAATAAACAAAGAAGAAAAATAGATTTTAAGTAAAGAACCAGTTGAGAAATGTAGAATTTGTTGACATTGTCTTTAAGCACTGTCTCTCATTTAATCAATAAATAATAACTTAATTCTGGACTTAAGGTAATGCTGAAAATTCAACTTCAATCAAATTTAAAAAATAGATTTAATTAAGCTGTAACTACCATTTGAAGGTGATTTAATTCTCCACATTAGAGTTTGGATCATAAGGCATGTCTCCTGACTTCTATAAATAACTGGCAAACATAGCTCGATTCAGATACTCCCACTTGGATAATCCTAGAACCTCTTTGTGGAGGACTCTTGGTTCCATTCATTTCTGAAAGAAAAGGACAGTGTCACATGCAATGCTAAGGTAGCTTGGGTTACAATATCTTTTTGGCAATGGAACTGTCCCCTGCCACTGGATCTGCTCACTGTAATTGCCCCCACCATGAACCAGTCTAATTCCCACATGGCTCCCAACTGGGTTTGCCTTCTTTCAGTGAGGATTGCTGCCTGTGGGATACGGCACTGAAGAGAGGTTAAAGCTGCAAAAGATCTTGGCCCTTGACATAGGGAGGTGTCTCTGGAGTCCTTTGTTCTTGCCAGTATGCATTTCTCAGGCCTGGACTCCAAATACAGTAAGTTGTTGCAGTGGCTTAGCCTCACTGTTAATGCTGGTCCCACCCAGGTCACGTGAAGCTATCGGTGGCTGCAGGAACTGAAGCCATGAAGCAATAAGGTATGGCAGAATTAACCACTACCCCTCAGTTTTATCTTTTACCCCTTATTATCCTTTGCTACAATAAACAAGTGACCCAGGAATCAGATGGTTGTAAGGCAAAAGCTGTTAGGTAGTTAATTGAGTCCAGGTCAGTCACAGGTTATCCAACAAGATGAAAGGAGAAACAAGAGGGAAGTCACCAGCTGATCAAGAAGTCATTACAGCAAGTCAGTAATCCAGAAAAATAAAGTCAACAAGGAGTAAAACATAGTCAGCAACTGTGGCAAGTCCAGGGTCAAAAGCATGTGATTGCAGAGAGTACTAAAGTCAAGGTTACAAAACAACTTTGGAAAGCTGCTGGGAGATTTATAGGCAGCTGTCTCAGGAAACCAGATGCTTAATAAGTCAGCATTCTCTGTTTGACAGATGCTGGGATCTGCATAGCCTCTCTTTGGGCCTCTGCAGACGGCTTATTAAGCCGTCCTCGAGGCAGGGAAGAGGAGGGGCAGCCACACGCTCAGTGCCCCTTCCTCCTCCCGAGGTTGCCCTCGGAGCCGCCAGCCTTCCACACGGCCGGCGCTCCGGGGGCAACCTCCCGCCGAGGGGATGCCTCGGTCCTGCGGCGCTCCTTCCCACGGCGGCCCAGAGCTGCCAGTCTGCTTCCCCCCATAATCTTCCTTGCCTCTTTGGTGATCATCAAAGGATGGAGGGAAGTCCTCAGTATATGTAATCTCTTGCTGCGGAGTGGGCCTCCCAACTGCCTCATCCCCCAGCTTCTTCGACTCCTTATCTGGAGCCATAAATTCCTGGCAATCTGACTCCTCTGTGTCTGAGTCTTCTGACTTCAAAGGATGAGTTATGACACTTACACTCTTACAATGCAAATGAAATCTGAGCAAATTTTATAACAGTAAAATATGCTGTGGATAGCAAACTATACAGATGGCATGCTGAATGCATTTATGTAAGAAAACTAATTTTGCATGGATATTAAGGCCACTTATTACATGTAACTGCTACAGATGGTGTTTCACCATGGGAATTCAGTCAGCTGTAGTGTTAAATTATGAAAAGAAAATATCACTGTATAAGCTGAAATCTAAAGCAAAGCAGCTTATTTATATACTGCTTCATATCACACTATGGGATGTCTAAGCGGTTTACAACTGTGAGCTGATTGCCCCCCAACAAGCTGGGTACTCATTTTAGCAACCTCGGAAGGATGCAGGCCTGAGTCGAGCCTCAGCCCTGGCTGGTATTGAACTCGCAACCTTGTGGTCTATGAGTGAGTGGCTGCAGTACAAGCATTTAACCACTGCGCCACCAGGGCTGATCTAGTGAAATAGTTTATTACAAATATATATGTAGATATCCCACTATATACCTGGGTGCTGCAGCCATTTTCCATGAATACTAGTAAGTAGTAGTGTCACTACGGAGTGTGTGGGTACAGACTGGACCAGGCAACACCCGAGAGGGAGGTGTACATCTGGTGGGGCAGTACACCTGGTGGGCTGGTACAGTTTCTGGGCAAGCAAGAAAAGGTGTTGCATCCCTTTCTTGCTTGCCCAGAAGCCATGCTGGACCCCCAAACAGCCCTCCAAAGGATGCAGCACTGCCCCCTCAAGCAGCTACTGCTGAGGAGGGCAGTGCCATTTGGGCTCTGGTGTGGCTGCAACCAGACCGGACCCCAAATGGCCCTCTGGAGGATGCAGCACTGCTTTCTCAAGTGACAGCTGCTACTGGGGGCCAGTGTGTTCCTTTTGGGCTCTGGCAGCCACACGAGATCTGAAACAGACTTCTGGAGGCCATGGAAGTCTCCCCCTGCCAACGCTCCACGTGAAACCAACCCCAGGGTTGCCACTGCTAGTAAAAAGCCTCAAAATGAATGGGGTTTGTCATTAGCAATTGTGATAGTGCCTGAACTATTACTGTTTCTTACTCATGATTTATGGGAACAAGTCATAAACTAGCAATGTATTGGGACTATCCAAGCAGTCACCAGTGACCATTAACTTAAAAGGAAATTCTTTCAAACTTGTGGTTGATTAACAATATCTATGACAATAATAGATTAAGTACTGCAATAGCAATAATAAAGATCCATGAGATAGAAAAAAAAGTTAAGATTATACCAGAACAGCCATTAAATTATTAAAAATAGAAAACCTGATCAGAACACCACATTAGTTTAGCAATACTTCAGCAGGATGAATGCTGGTTCAACTTGGCTGGTATATAAGCTATGAATACATATCAGTTCTCACTGAAATTAACAGCATGCATTTGTACAGAGTATACATGAATTTTTACAAACTTGTACTTTTATGACAATTTCCATGGGTCTTGTGATGTATATTAATATCTGGCATATCAAAATTCATCTAATGAGAAATCATTTCCAAACTTAAACGCAAAGTTAGAAAAAAAATCAGTTTTTTGTTGTTTGTTTGTTTTTAGAATAGGGTTGGGAACTGTGCAGCCCTCCGGATTTTATTTTTATTTTTATGGACTACAGTTTCCAGCACTCATCACTATTGGCTATGCTGGCTAAGCATGCAGTCCAACAACATCCGAAGGGCTATGTAATTCCCACCTATTTTAGGGAATACAATCAAGGTTATCTTTTTTTTTTCCCTCATTAAATTTTTATTTAGTTTTTATAATAAAACAGATAACGCCTGTAGAACAATGACAACAACAACAACAATTAACTACAAGGGCCAAGGTATGTATCTGATGTGTAGTTATTCAGCAGCAGAATCAAAAAATTAGTTCTCAGCAAGAGCCAGAGAGTCTGGTTTGTCAAGGTTTAGAGTGTCTGTGCAAAGATCTATCTGTGAAGTTGGAGGTTGGATCCGGTGGGAGTGATGATTAACTTAATCAATAAAGATCATGCAGTCTTCTTGATATGTGTCAGTCTTTTTGTGGCCAATGCAAAACCTCGTCATAGCAGACAGTTTCTCCATCAGCCACATATCCCAATTTCTAAACCACCAGTTCTCAATGGAGAGGTCACCTGACTTTCAACATTTGGCTACTTCTAATCTGGCAACAGTAATAAGAAAAATTATCAATTTTCTATGTTTCAAGTTCAAATTATTTTAAACAAATATAGAAAGCAAAAGCAAAATTGTACAGAAATTTACAGTTTGATCAGTGATACATTAAATTTGATAGAGAACTGCATCCCAGAATTTTCTCACTTTAGGATATTCAATCCACATATGCATATAAGAGCCTCTAGAGTTACAGCTTTGCAATTCTCCATCAATCCAGAGAGAGCGTTTTAACCATTTTAGACAGCGTTACAGGTGTGAGATATGACCTATGGATGGTTTTCAAAGTATTCTCCCTTACAGATGCTGAACAGGATTTGTATGGGGGTGAAGACCAAATATGAGCCCATGCAGCGCCTGAAATTGTGGCTTTCAGTTCTTCTTGCCAAAATGAGTGCATGTATTGGCCTTTCCCATACGTGTGTTCCAGGAGATGTTTGTAGATAGCTGCCGCCATCCCTTTAGTATGAGAAGCGGAATTCAAACAAAAGTTTTCAAAAAAAAAACTTGGATATGGAGATTCTCCTGCTGAGGCTAGGTATGATGCAAAGGAAGCAATGTGGTGTACTTGAAGCCAGGTAATGTTTGTTTGTTGTAGGGCAGGCAATTTTTATGGTGTTGGTGGGCTTTGGTAATCCACCAGAGAACAGGTGTAAGGTGTGGTAGAGTCCACATCTTCTCAATAACCTAATTAGTAGGAATTTATCATCTAAGTGAGAAAGAGGATGCAAAAAAATGGAGGGTTAATGGGAGAGGGGTCCGGAGCTAGTATGTGTTTCCATTTATGCCAGATGAGTAGGGAGCAAGATACAAACGGATTCAATAACCCAGTTTCTGTTTTGAAGTTTTAGCGTAGAGGCAAGTAAATTCAGTGGACTTCATATTATAAACTT